CTAGTGACAATGAATAAAACAGAAAACAGATCATTTTTTTAATTCTGATATCATGAATTAGAAATACGGAAAAAGAGAGTTGATAGAAATTAATTAGGATGTTTTGGTTTTACAAGCTTTTTTTTGTCATTTATTTTATTTTTATTATTTTTAAATTAGTTTTATTGAAGCAGGGATACAAAAATATAAAAAAGAGGGATAATAATCAATTTTCAGTTTTTGCTCTTCCTTTAAATGTGCCAAACGTCATTGTAAATTAGTAAAATTAGGATGTGGAAGGTTATTGTTTTATTAGCTAAGGGCTTAGTGGCTAAATAAAGCCACCCAAATTACAGGGAATGTTTCTCTAGCTCAAGATTTCATATTAATTAGTACTAAATGTTACCTCTAAAAACAGATTTCACTTCTTTTATTGAGGTCAAACTGTGAACTACATGCTTGTGTTAATTCAATTGTAAATATTGAAGTTTGTGTTCTATTGGTCACTTTAGTAGGTTTGATTATTTTCATTCGAGTAAATGATCTTATGAGTTTATTTTAGTAAATCATGATTGTAGAAAATTCTATATGAGATAATGGTACTTCTATATGTTTAAGTAATTTCTGTTGTCATTATACCCATCTTCATCTTTTTCAGGTCTGAAGGCAAAGTTTTAGTCATCAAGTATGCATAAGAAAAATAGCCCGAGTCATAAGAAAAGTTGCTTCCAACTTCAAGGCTGGATTAGAGAATTTATAATTTTTGAAAAATCCTTTTATTTTTTTAGTTTTGGTTTCTGTTTTATTCTGGCAAAGATAAAAGCTTTTTTATTCATAAAATAGAGTTAAGATATACAATCACATTAAATTGATTTACAAACTATTGAGGAAAAAAGTCAATCAAATTTGCATGTAGTTTATTATGTAGAACAGTTCTTTTAACTAACTCGTACATTGTTTGATCTTGGACTTGGAACATGGTTTAACATATAAGCCTCTTGCTGATGCAATATGGAGGAAAATCTATAAAGCACATGTATCAACTAATTCTTCTTGAATTGCATTAAGAATTGCCAAAGTATCACTTTCAAATACTGCTTACATTGTTATTCTAAATTTTAATGACTTTGGCATTCAAACATATGTGTATCACTTTCAAATACTGATTACATTGTTATTCTGTTGGTATTGCTTGTTATTTGGATTTTAGCTTTGCACTCACTTATTCTGTTTGATGGTTATACATTCATTTGTTTGATAATGCAGGACAATATGGTGACCCAATCATCATTAGAGGCATTCGATAACTTGGATGTGAGGGAGTCTTATCATTGAACTGAAGGCAATTGTGAATAGTATGTTGGAGTATCAAAGGTTGTCTTCTCAATACAGTTTGGTGCATATCGACCCTTGTTTTGCAGCAGCAACAACTTTATAGACCCTTTGGCAGCCATTTAAATAATTTGCAGCCACTGATGCTTGGCCTGTTTGCTCCAAACTCACCATTTCAAACTCATCCACCAACATTTTGATGATTAATCTTTTGTTATTACAAGAATGTATTTCAAATATTGATGTCTAGATACTATGTTATTTGGTACTTATTTGAGTACAATTGATGTAAATGCGATTTGTACATTGTTTTTTTAAGTAATGGTCATTAAAATTTAGCTTCTTTATTTGTGTTGATATGAAATTCAGTTTCTTAATATTTTTGATGGTTGAAACACAGAAATGGAAATAGCAAAAACAACAGGCGCACATATTACCAATAAAATAAAATAATAATAAAATAACAAGCGCACGTTAGGGACAACAATTTTCTGTACCAAATACTTATTTGGCACAGAACAACTTTCCGTCCCGAAAACGTATTTGGGACAGAAAATTGTTCCATCCCAAATGAGAATATGGGACGGTGGCTTTGTCTCTGTCCCAAATACTCATTTGGGACGGAAGGTTATTCCGTCCCAATTTGTCCGTCCCTAAATGGCTTTTAGGACGCTACATATTGGGACGGATGCATCAGTTGTCCCCAAAAGGTATTAGGGACAGTTTGGCTACCTTTAGGGACAAATTTTTTTGTCCCTAATACCGTAAATTCTTGTAGTGAGACTTCTGAATTCTGAATCCTCTCCCCTTTTTCTTCCTCCAGGCCTCTATTTATAGGCTTCTTGGATTAATAGGATGATGACACGTGTCATCTCCTGATAAGGATAAAACTATAACTGGGCCGGGCCGGTTATATTGTGATAATTATCCTTAAAGATAATTATTCAAAATATATTTTATTAGGAATAATTATCGTTTCATTTAATTATCTGGGCTGGGCTAATTAAATAATTTAAGTGGACCAAGCCTGGTAAATTAAATAATTTATTTAAACATTAGGCCTATATTTAATGGGTCCATTCGTTAAAACCAAAGCCCACTAAATTTTAGTGTCTACAAATACCTATACCATCGTATTAGACTTTCCCAACCACCCCTCACTCATTTTTATATGTAATGCCCTTATTTAATATATTTTCTCCCTCTATAAATACTCTATCAATATTTAATATATATTCTCTCTCCTCTCTAACAACTTTTTCGATCTCTCTCTAATTGCCCCTCACTTTTATGAATTTATAATTAAATATTTCATATATTACATACAGAACATAAATATATGTGCATATATATACATATACCCTTATTTAATGGATTTTCTATCCCTATAAATACTCTATCTATCTTTAATATATTTTCTCTCTTATGTAACAACTCTTTCTCTCTCTCCAACTGCCCCCCACTCTTATACAATTAAATAATTTAATAAATTACATACAAATATAAATGATTAGATATATATAAAAGAAATAAAAGGGTGTGGTTTTGAATTTGTCCTTTTACAATTAAATATTTCAGAAATTACATACAAATATAAATGATTATATATACCCTTATTTAATGTATTTTCTATCTCTATAAATACTCTATCTATATTTAATATATTTTCTCCCCTCTGTAACAACTCTTTCTCTCTCTCATTGCCCCCCACTCTTATACAATTAAATATTTCATAAATTACATACAAATATAAATGATTATTATATAAATAAAAGAAATAAAAAGGTTGTGGTTATGAATTTGTCCTTTTAGTTAATTTTGTCTTCTAGTTTTTTTTATATTATTTTTGTTATTAGTACAATGGAGGGCATTTTAGTCTTTTGACGCTTTCAAAATTAAAGCCAAAATTAGAAGTATCAAAATGATACTTTTATTTGCTTCCGCATTATAGCAAAGCACTGTTCAAAAAAATAAATAAATAATTTTTTTTTTCTAAATTAACATTTTTAACTAACCATTCAAATTTTCAAACTTACAACACTTTTTACCAAACACACTCATGTTTTTGCTTTAAAAAAACTTGCAACAAATTTACATTACCAAACAAGTTTCGAAACAGTGTTGAACGCACTCTAAAGCGGAAACATTGTTTCTGCTTCGGGTCAAAGCAAAAGTACAAAACTACTGTGGTTGCCAATGGGCCCTAATTATGTTTTGGTTCATCTTTCTTTTGGATGTCAAAAATTTAGGACTGCAATGCATAATTTGGTGTTTGGATATCTTTCTTTTGATTAGCCATGTACTTGGTCACATAAAGGGAGATTGGGAGGTCTGAGGGAGAACGAAATTGAGAGCGGCAGTACGAAAGTAACAAAATTAAATCACAAATGTTGAAAACAAAAATCGAGAGTGCGTGCGAAACGTGAGAACGACATCAATGATTGTGCAACTTAAGTCGTGCATTAACACTATTTTCTTTATGAATAATATCTTTTTACACTATTTACTTTATGAATAATATCTTTTTACACTATTTACTTTATGAATAATAATTTATCTATTACCTGCATCACTTGAAAGATTTAGAAAATTTTGAGATTTTGTTATCTTTAACATTGGGTATGGTAAATTTAGTTTATGAATGATATATTTTTGTTGGATGAGTAGATTCTAATTCTGTGTGTGCGTGACCAGAACAAGTTTTGAGTCTTTTTCATGTGTTATTTTTTTTTTTTTACATGATGAAATACTAGCCTGATTCGAGTTTTCTCACTAAATTGCTGGAGGGGAAGTTTGTTATGACTTAAACATCCAGTAGGGACACATATCTGACACATCTTGAATATCAAAATGTAGGCTTTCTAGTTAATATCGAGTAAAATTTCCAGGTACTTTGACCACTTAGTAGCACTCTCAATCAATGCTCTATATCTTCTTTGGTAAATGAGGAAGTGTAGAGCGTGGAGGTAATGAGAAGCTTTGATTAGGAATAGTACCACTAGTCAAAATATTCTCAGTTTATCATAAAATTTCTCCTAGTAAAAGTGTAACATAGATCTCTAATGCTTACAATTTCATGTCAATTTAGTTCCAAAAACTGCACAGGCAGTGACGGTGGGCTGCACTGCAAAGCTAAAGCAACTGTTGCACCTCAACGCATTTCGGGAGAGAACCAACTAGGTTTGAGTTCGAGTGGCATTTCACCCCTAACAATAATTCATACGCTAATTCGTCAACATCAGTTGATTCAGACCTCCACTTAGTTTCATCCAAGTTTCATCATGGTCATGGATAGATCACCCAGGTTTGGGTCAATAAATAGTGACAATTGCCCTATGAAGTCTTGCTTTCGCTACAGCTCGGGTGGGTTTCCTTAGCCAAGAGGTCAAAGCTATCGAATCCAGTTGGGCTTTTACGAAGCTGGGCCTGCTTTCCAATAACTCACCATTTGGTGATTTGGTTTTTAGCAGCCCAAGTGGGGTTTTAGGTTTGTGTGATGACCTACTCTTCCTTACACAATGTATTCTTGATAAGATTTTACCTTTTTTCAGTTTCTTATATATATATATATTGATTTATTTTGTTATCGTAAATAACTCTAGTAATGCCCTAGGAGAAACTTGCACATGGTACCTACGTTTCAACAAAAAGGAAATACAATTAGGCCTCTAAGCCTTGCTTACAATTAATTTCATTGACCACTGTAACAATTCATTTAAATGAAACATATTCTGTATGCTACAACTTCATACAATACCTTTCTTATGTAAACATGAATAATTATACATAATTGTTTTGTAATAAATGAAGAATATAAGCAGTGAAAGCCAATATCATGGTTGCTGGTTTTGAGGGCTATTTGGAGGGGATGGAGGAATATATGGTATCCATGTTCTTGGGTCTCTTAAATTAAATGCTGGTGGTGGAGGAGGAGAGAGGAAAGGAATATTGGGTATCCAAGTTCTTGGGTCTCGGGGATTGAATGCAGGTGGAGGGGGTGGAAAAGGCAGTGATGGGTTTGGATTAAAAGGAGGGATGGGTGGAAATGGAAAGGGCAAAGATGGTGGTTGTGGAATTGGTGATGGAGGGAATGGCCAAAAAGGGATAGGTGGATATGGAGGGAAGGGAAATGAGGGCAAGGGTGGAAGTTGAGGTAAAGGTGGAAGTTGAGGTAAAGGAGGTAGTGGAGGGAAGGGAAATGAGGGGAAAGGTGGGAAGGGTGGAAGTTGAGGTAAAGGTGGTAGTTGAGGTAAAGGAGGCCAGGGGAAACCATATGGTGGGAAATGAGGGAGAAAGAACTTTGAGGAATACAATGAATTTGGCATTTCCTCTTTCTGGTTTCCACATAAAGTAAGGTTCTTCTCAAATGGTCTATAACTCAGAACACTTAAGCTGTAAATACACAGATTGCCTTGTTTTGATTTGACTGTTATCTCATTAGATGTGGCCTTTAAAGCAGGAACATTGCAGGCCGATGATGAGCTTCCTATCAAGCTCGCTTGGCACAATGATTGAATTGCTGGACCTTCCACACAGTCAACCCCTTCCACAGATGGCATTTCTAACTTGTACACTCCATGTTCATCTGTAGTTCTGTTGACTGAGAAGGAGATCTGTTCTGTGGTTGTTGGTGTGTTTGCTTTGAATTTGCATTGTATATGAACATCCACACCTAATCAGTAAACCAAAAAAAAAAAACAACCACCACACCAAAATCAGTTGTCTCGGAAGTTAATGAAAACGCATCCACAACACCAAAATCAGAATTTTTTTTTTTCCCCCAACAGTTCAAATAAATATACACCCACAATATTGTCCCTATCACGGTTAGGAGAGATTTAGGCTAATGCCACACACCTACAATATCACTCCTATCTTGAATACTTAATCTCCCCTTTGGGTAGGAGAGCTTTGAACTACCCGTCACCAAAATCAGTGTTTTTTCTTTTTCTTTTCTCTCGAAAGTTGAAGGAAATGCACACACCTACAATATGACCTCCATCAGGACTTGAACGCTTAACCTCCCATTTGGGTAGGAGGGATTTGGGTTAATGCCCGTCACCGAAATTAGAAGTACATGTCTTTTCTTTCTTCTTCTTTTTTGAAAGTTTAGATACAGGCACAGACCCACAATATCACCTCAAAGGGAAGAAAAAAATTAGAGTTTTTGATTTAACAAGGAAATTTAACTTTTTTAAGAAATTTAAAGAGTAAAAAAGAGAGGAAAAAAAGTACAAAAATAAAAAATTATCTTATGTATTATAGTGGGCAGGCGAGGCTAGGGGGCAAGTGCCCTAGGCATACACCGGCTATCAGGGCTCGAAGTTTTAACCTTCCCTTTTGGGTAGGAGAGATTTGGGCTAATGTGGGTCACCAAAATCAGAAGTACTTGGTTTTTCTTTTTTCTGATATTGCCCATATCAAGACACGAAAGCTCAACCTCCCCTTGGGAGAGGAGAGATCTGGGCTAAATCCCCACTGGTCACCAAAATCAGAAATTGCTCAAAGAATAATTTTGGGTTCTTTTAGTTCATTACCTGGCAAGAAGTAGCTGTGTCTTGTGAAAGTGTTGTTGTGGCATACATCACAATATACAGCACCCACTACAGAGATATGAGATGTGGGTTGTGCTGGTTGAGCCACCACACTAAGTGGGTGAGCAAGCAAAGATGCAAGGAGGAGGAGAAAGAGAAACACTGGCTCCATGGAAGCAAACATGGGAGAAGAAGGAAAGAGAAGCTTCTACAATAATCATATATCTATCTATATAGTTATAGTTGATTCTCTGTGAATAATGATGACATCGAAAGCATTGTTATATAACATGACAATTGGGACTCTGTGCATATAATGAGCCCGTGAGCAGGTTGGTGTTAGAACCAACTGTAATCAGAGTTTTAGAAAACTTTGTATTCACTACAAACAAAGACATGTGAAGAGGCCCTTTTGGCAGTTTATGGTGATTTCTTATATTGGAAAAGCAGCTTTGCAAGGCTTGAAAGGAATCATGGAATGGAAGATTGGAATTGTTGATGTATTGATTGTGGGCGAGATTGTCATGCTTTCAGAGTCAGTTTATTTACTTTTTATCTTTGTGGCTGCTACATATCCCATGAATGTCGTGATCACAGCATTGTTGTCCCATAGCATTGTTCTGCAATAATTCTGAACCTAAGATGACCACACGATCTTTAGTTTCAATGTGCTGCACGTCCCTTTTAGGAGTGGTTGTAAGTTGTAAAATTATGGCGTGTTTGGGACGCATTTTATTTTTACATTTTTGTTTTAATATAAATTAAAATAAGTATTTTGTCACACTAGATGTTTCAACACTTTACAAAACAACACATTTTTTTAACAAATGCGTTTTTTCAAAAAAATATTACCATGGTACAAGACTAAAAATGAAAACACAAAAGACAAAACGCGCACCGAACATGTCATACGTACATTATTTTGATTTTTGTGTCACACATTATATTGATGTGTGTTCAAAATCAAAAGAGAAAGAGAGAGGGCAAAAAAGCGTATTCTCTGTGTATATAAAACCAACTTACAAAACCTAATAAGCCTATGTAGGCTTATATATGTTACAAGGTTTACATAATAACACAAACAGCCTATTAACTAAACATAATTACATAACGACCCATTATTATATATATATAACTTCTAACACTCCCCCTCAAGCTGGAGAATATATATCAAATAATCCCAACTTGGAATAGATAGTTCTTAATCGATTATGACCCAATGCTTTGGTAAACATATCAGCTAATTGATCTTCAGACTTTATGAATGGAGTAGAGTTGCTCCCAGGTAATATTTTTTCTCGAATAAAGTGACAATCAACTTCAATATGTTTGGTCCTCTCATGAAACATAGGATTTGATGCAATATGAACTGCTGCTTGATTATCACAGAATAATGGAGTAGGAGCTTCAACTGTCAACCCAAGTTCTTTTAGAAAATGTTGTAATCAAGTCAATTCACTAGTGGTATGGGCCATTGCCCTATACTCAGCTTCAGCACTAGATTAAGCTACCACCGTTTGCTTTTTACTTCGCCATGTAACTAGATTTCCTCCTATAAATGTGCAGTAGCCGGTAGTAGATCTCCTATCTGAAGGAGAACCGGCCCAGTCGGCATCTGTAAAACCTTCCACCCTGAGATGACCATTTGGTTTATATAGTAACCCAAAACCTGGAACTTGCTTGAGATATCGGAGAATCCGAAGAACAGCAATCCAGTATGGCATTCTAGGGGCTCCCATGAACTGACTTACAACACTAACAGCATATGAAATATCAGGTTGACTGATAGTGAGATAAATTAATTTCCCAACAAGGTGACCAAATCTGCCCGGGTCACTAAATAGATCACCCACATCATCTACAAGTTTTGTATTTGAATCCATAGGAGTATCAACCGGACGACCACCTAACATACCTGTTTCTTCTAATAAGTCCAACACATACTTTCGTTGGGATAAACTTATACCAGTCTTGGATCTAGCTACTTCAATACCCAAGAAATACCTAAGTTTACCCAAGTCTTTAGTGTGGAATCGATATTGCAGAAACAACTTCAACTTAGCAATGCCTTCAGAATCATCACCTGTGATCACAATATCATCAACATACACCACAAGAATTATGAAACCATCTTTAGTGCGCTGGTGAAATACCGAATGGTCAGTCTGACACCTCTGAAGACCAAACTTTAATGCCGCCTCAGAGAATTTTCCAAACCAAGCCCGTGGAGATTGTTTCAAGCCATATAGAGCCTTTTTAAGGTGACAAACAGTGTGAAGATACTCCCCCTGAGCAACAAACTCAGGTGGTTGCTCCATATAAACCTCTTCTGCTAAGTCACCATGCAAAAAGGCATTTTTAACGTCTAACTGAAACAGAGGCCAATGTCTATTAGCAGCAAGAGAAATCAAAACACAAATAGAGGAAATCTTAGCAACAGGTGCAAACGTCTCATCATAGTCAATACCATAAGTCTGGGTATAACCTTTGGCAACAAGACATGCTTTTAAACGCTCAATGGACCCATCCGGAAGATATTTCACAGTATATACCCAGCGACAACCAACAGGTTTGACACCTGGAGGTAATGGAACAAGAGTCCACGTGCCATTCGTATGCAAAGCATCCATTTCATCCTGCATTGCTTTCCTCCAACCCGAATCAGACAAAGCATCCTGCACAGTCTTAGGAACAAATGTAGTAGACAACTGAGAAGAAAAACATGAGAATGATGGTGATAAAGAATTATAAGAAACATAATGAGCAATGGGATGTTTACTAGCACACGAGCGAGGAGCTTTACGAAGTGCAATTGGCAAGGAATCAGACATAGTAGAATTTGTCAGATCTAAAGACTTTGAAGATGATGGAGGAGGCACGACAACAGATGGCTTTGGTCTTTAAGTGTACACTTGTAACCGGGCAGATGAAGGAACCAGAGATTGAGATTGAAGAGAAAGTGAGGGAAGAGGAACTGCAGAAGGAGGCGACTCAAGATTGATATCAAGAAATGAATCAGTATCTGAAAAATAAAGGATGGACTCAGAAAATATAACATCCGCGCTAATAAAGTACCGTTGAGAAACAGACTATAGCAGCGATAACCTTTATGAGAACGAGAGTAGCCAAGAAATACACACTTTGTGGCACGTGGGTCTAGTTTATCAAAACCAGGACCAAGATTGTGGACATAACATACACATCCAAAAACCCTAGGAGGAAGAGAAAACAAGGGAGAATCAGGAAATAAAATAGAATGTGGAGATTTGCCATTTAATACAGATGACGGCATACGGTTAATAAGATGACAAGCTGTAAGAACAGCATCACCCCAAAACCATTTAGGCATACGCATATGAAACAAAAGAGCACGAGTTACTTCTAAGAGATGTCAATTCTTACGTTCTGCAACTCCATTTTGTTGTGGAGTATAAACACATGAATTTTTATGAATAATTCCTTTATCACTAAGATATGTATCAAAGGGAGTTGAAGAATATTCCTTAGCATTATCAGAACGTAGAATACGAATTGGACATCCAAACTGAGTTTTGATTTCTTTGCAAAATTTTTGAAAAATTAAAAATAACTCAGAACGATCTTTCATTAGAAACAACCAAGTCAGGCAAGAATAATCATCCACAAATGTCACAAAATAATGAAATTTATTGATTGAAGAATGTTTTATTGGACCCCGTACATCTGAATGAACCAAATGAAAAGGACTAGAAACACGATTATTAACCCTAGACTTGAAAGACACGCGATGGTGCATACTAAGTTGACAAACTTCACATGACAAGAATTTCAAATAACTAAGACTAGGAACTTGACGCTTTAAAACTTGAAGTGACGGGTGACCAAGGCGACAGTGCCACTAGAATGGAGACAGAGAAGACTGAAGAGCCACAGGAAAAGGTTCGAAATCAAAATAATATAAGCCATCGACTTCATGCCCCGTACCAATCTTCTTCTTCATCTTGAGATCCTGAAACACACAAGAAGTAGGATCAAATATAATAGAGCACTGGAGAGATTTAGTAAGCTTACTGATAGACATTAAGTTAAAGGGAAACTACGGAACATGTAAAACAGACGAGAGAGACAATGAATCACTAAGTTGAGTTGTCCCCAAACTTGAAACCTGAATGGATGAACCATTAGCAAGAGTAACACTTTGAGAAGTAGGTACAGAATGAAAATCAGATAGAAGAGAAGAACATCCGGTCATATGATCAGATGCTCCAGTGTCTATGATCCAAGGACTGCGAGTGGAAGACAATAGACATATGTGTGCAGTACCTGACTGGGCAAAGGTAGCCGTGGAAGATGAATTAGATGCTTGCTTATAAGACAAAAACTGAGTATACTCATCCCATGGAACATGAACTGTATCTGATTCAGCTACATTGTGCGATCTAGAAGCGACATCATTCGGAGAAGAGGAAACTTGATTTGCATAACTAAATGGTTTCCCATGAAAGTCCCAACAAAAGTTCACAGTATGATTAGAAAGACCACAATGAGTACACTTTCTTAATTCGCTGCCACGGCCACGTCCTTCACGTGAATCACGACCACCACGTGCGAAGCGCCCCCCACGACCTCCACAGTAAGTATTATGTTCACCCTTTGAAACTACCAATGCTGAACGCTCACCACTCTGTCCAGTATTTAAATTTAAGGTATCACTTGCTAGTGTAGCACGCTGAAGTCGAGAAAACACCTCAGCAAGAGATGGAAGTGTTGGACTGCTCATAATCTGTGCACGAAAAGGCTCATATGCTGATGATAAACCAGTAAGAAAACGGACATCATTAAAGTCCGCACGCTGTTGTTGCATACTACGAACATCAGCAGTAATGGGCTGATACATAGTCAGCTCTTCATAGACTCCCATAACTTTGGAATAATACTCTTCTATACTTTGAGTACCTTGTTCAAGATTGAAGTACTGTTTACATAGCTCATAAACATGGGTGATATTACCTATCCCAAAATATAACTGCTGCAATCTATCCCATATCTCCTTGGTTGTATCCAAATAAAGTAACATTGAACTAATTTGGGGTTCAATACTGTTTATCATCACAGAGATGATCTGAGCATCTTCCTTTTCCCATCCATCAAAGGAAGTATCAGTTGCCTTGAGTTTCTCTTTAGTCAAATGAGAACCAAAACCTCTGCCTTTGAGAAAAATGGCAACAGATTTGGCCCACAATATGTAATTCTTCCCATTGAGCTTAACTGAAGTCATGGGAAAATTAAGACTGTTCGTGGATGAAAGCAAATCTGAACTTGAACTTGAGGCCATGTTAAATCCAGCAAAACAGAGAAGAAAAAGGAGAGAAAACAAAAATTCTGTATTTTGGCCGAACCTGGAAGCAGTCTGAAACGGGTCAGATTCTGAAACCGAGTCGGATCCTGGTATGGGTCGAGTCCTGAAACGAGTCGGATCGGATCCTCAAACGGGTCGGTCGCTGGTACGAGCCGGATCCTAGTACGGGTCG